TCCAAAAAGCTCGAGCTGATTTCACTGACTTACACCATCTCTGGCGTAGGCGTGACATCCAGGTGGCCATCAACCAAAGGACGTGTGTACTGCTCAGCAGTTCACTCCATCCTTCTCTATGCCTCTGAAACATGGCCAATACGAGTTGAAGACATGAAAAGGTTGACTGCTTTCTATCATAGATGTCTGCGATCTCTTTCTCACGTTAGGTTGTATAATAAGGTAAGTAATGTTGACGTTAGGCGTAGAGTGTTGGGCAAAGAGAGGAAATCAATCGACGAGGCTATGAAGTTACATAGATTGAGATGGCTAGGTCAGGTGGTGCGTATGCCTAACCATCGCCTCCCCCGATGGGCATTACTAGCTGATGATATAGGTGCAGGTTGGAAAAGAGTAAATGGTGGCCAAACAAAAACATGGCCTCATCAATCCATGAAATCCTTGACAGTTAAACTGAGTCAGGTAGGTAGGGAGATGCAGACTTCCGGGTTGGGGCCGTCGTGACTGACTCTAGGAATCAATGGCTGGCGACAACAGGTGACATGGCTCAAAGTGATCGTTGTCAATGGCCAGCGCAGATGTATTCAGTTTCTGTATTCTTTCATATTTCTTTGTACCATTACCCATTCTGTTTCACTAGTATACTTGTCAAACTCTATTGATTCTCTTCACTCATCTTCTTGTCTACCTTTGTGTGCTATTTGGAACGTGGCCGCTCGAACTGGTGCACTTCGGTGCCAAGTTCTATGTTGAATCCAGACAGATAGACAGGCTAAAGGACTCTGTAGGTTAACCCAGTTAAACAAAATAATGTAATTTACAAAATACCTTGCATTGATAACTGTGAGTCGAGGGGTCAACTACCTGCATAAGTGAGTGCACACTAGTGGATCAGGCAAGACTAGTGAGATATTGCCTGCCAGAACATGGGAATACAGCTGAGGTTAGAATGATTGATCCCATCCACGAAGATAACTAGGAAAAAATAACTCAGCAATACATTGCACTGCATGCGTTAACAAACACAACCACACAAATTGGGGTGGTGAATCATAGTCAAAATTCTAAAGAGTAATATAGATAGGTGGAGATAGACTTAGTGGGAGAGAGAGACAGATTACTTACTGAATCCTGGTCCACCTAGTCTACAAACAAAACACAGCACATTACAATAGAAGTGACTCATCATCATCATCATCGCCAGCTAATACAATACCAGAGATATTATTTATTATTATTATTGCTCCTTTTGGTTCCTAGTGGAACATAGGGCTTCAACTGCACGTCTCCATTTGCTTCTGTCTTCTGCTGTACTTTTCGCCTGCATCCCTGTAAGTCCATACTCCTTCACCTCCTCTCCACACGATCTCCTACATGTCAACCGTGGATGTCCCACACGCCGCTTCCCTTCGGGTTCCACTCGAGTGATGGCCTGACGTGCAATGTCACCCAGCGGTCTCCTCAGCGAGTGACCGATCCATCTCCACTTTCTCCTGCATATTTGTTGGTTGGCGATCGGTTCTTGCTTTGTTTGTTCCCATAATTCCTTGTTGGTGACTCTTTCCGGCCCGGCCATCTGATCCTCAGTATAGAGCGAAGACAGTTAGTTGTTAATAAACGTAACGTCTGCAACAGCCTGTTGGAAATATTCTTTGTGACCCCCCAAGTTTCTGATCCGTATAGAAGAACTGACTTTACGTTTGTATTGAAAATCCGAATTTTGTTGTTGATGCTGAGTGACGAAGATTTCCAGATTGGTTGTTTCAGGTTGATGATTGAATGTGTTTCTCGCCTTCCCGATTCTCGCTCGATTTGACATCCTTGTCCGTTCCTCCTGTAGTTGAGACAATGCTCCCTAGATAAGTGAATGAAGTAACCTCTTTCAAATCCCTCCCGTTGATGATGATTTGTGCTTGATGTTGCTGCTGTTGTTGTTCGTTGGTTATTTTCATCACCTCCGTCTTGTTCACCTATGTTCACCTGGAGTCCTGACTTCGTCAGCTGCTTCTTCGACCAGTTTGTCGGTTTTCGGTCGCTTGTAAGTCTTCGATTGTGTGTGACACCAAACATAAATTATCCACGCGCGAAATCCAGGTCTTCTAGGTTCTTCACAACGGTCAGTCCAGGATATCCCGGTCTACTCGTTTCCCACTGACCGACGCATAATCCAGTTAGTCCACCACAATTAGGAATATCATTCATTGGTGATAGTAAGCAAGCACCCTTGTCCGACTCCTGTGTTTACTCGAAATACCTCGCTGAGTTTTCCGTTGTGGATGACTTGACATGTGCCGCCGTTGTCGTACAGCTGTTGAATAAGGTTGATGAATATTTGGGCGCTGCACGCCGTAGTACTCGAGTAATTCTCAAACTACTTCACGATTAACTCTGTCGAAGGCCTTCTCTAAGTCTATAAAGTTGAGCTAGTTGAGGTTTGATTGATGGCCATTCCATGCTTTGTTCTCTGATGATGATGCGTAGAGTTGCAATTTGGTCAGTACATGATTTGCCTGACTTTCCTGAATCCAGCTTGTTCTGGTCGGAGTTCTGTCTCCAGTGCGTCCTTTATTCTCTCCAGGATGACGTGACTCAGGATTTTACTTGGCGTCGACAGGAACATGATTCCTCGCCAGTTCTTGCAGAGTGAGGCGTGAGTCGCCCTTCTTTGATAGTTTCACGAGGTAACCCTTCCTCCAGTCAGTAGGCACCTTTCCCTCCTTCCAGACCTTTCGCAATAATGGAGTGAGTCAGCATGTCTGCTGTCGTCTCTGGATCCGCTTTCAGTGCTTCAGGGGGTATTCCATCTGGACCAGCTGCCCTTCCAGCTTTCAGAAGCTTGATTGCATTCAAGACTTCAGCTCTCGTTGGAGGACTGGTATCAACTTGCAGTTGTGTGCGCGCTGTTGTTGGTATTTGTGGACGGGTTGTAGGTAATGGTCGGTTCAAGAGTCCTTTGAAGTGATCCGCCCATTGTTTAATCTGTCTTTCTTCCTTGGTAATTGGGTTCCCTTGGCTGTCTTTTATAGGTTTCGCTTGTGTTGATCTCTTCCCGGATAGAGATTTGGTTATCTGATGTAATGTCCTCAGGTCCCTTTTGCCTGCTGCCTTCTCAGCTTCAGTGGCCAGGTTGTCGTAGAATCGTCTTTTGTCCTTCCTAGCTCTCTTCTTCACTTCTTTGTCCAGTGCTGTGTACGTAGTGAGCTCAGCGTCTCCTTCTCCTGTCCGTCCTTGCATTGAATCATTTTCACCATTCTCCTCTCTTCTATTAATTTCCAAGTGTCCGTTGAGAGCCATTCCTTGTCTTGTCTCTTCTTTCTTCCTAGAACCGTTGAACACGTTTCGTTGAGAATCGCCTTCAGAGACTTCCAATGTTCTTCCACGCATGATTCTTCAGTGATGTCGCGTAGTGTTTCCTGCTTTGCTCTGACAGTTGCAGTGAAAGTGTCTTCTGTGGTTGTGTCCTTCAGTAACTGAGTGTTGAACTTGCATTGTGGCCTATCCCCAGCTATCCTCGAGGCTTTTAGTTTCACCTTGAAAGTCCCTTGTACTAGATAGTGGTCTGAACCCACATCTGCTCCTCTCCTCGACCTTGTGTCCAGTAGGCTCCGTCTCCACTTTCTTGAAATTGAGATGAAGTCTATTTGGTTTTTGGTGTTTCCATCTGGTGAAATCCATGTCGTCTTGTGTATTTCCTTGTGTTTGAACACACTACCACTAATCACCAAATCATTGAAGGCGCAGAAGTCTGAGAAGAGTTCACCATTGTCGTTCATTTCATCGAGGGCCTTTCGACCCATGGTGAGTTCTCTTCCTGTGTTGTCTCCTCCCAGTTTCATAGAAATATCATCCATCAGGATTTTGATATCGCCATTTGGGACGTTGTCCATTACTGTTTGTAGTTGTCTGTAGAACGCCTCCTTCTTCTCTTGTTCTGAGACGTTTGTAGGCGCATAGCATTGAATGACTGTAACTTTCCTTCCTTTTGAGTTGAACCTGGCTGTCATTATCCTGGAGGAGATTGGTTCCCACTGCATGAGAGCTTTGGTTGCTGTTGGTGACATCATGATGGCCACTCCCTCGGTGTGCTCGTGGTTGTCCTCTGGGTGGCCGGAAAAGATTACTGTCTCTCCAGTAGGTAGTTGGCACCTTCCAGTTCCGTTCCATCTGCTCTCGCAGATTCCCAACACTTCTATTCTGTACCTTCTCATTTCAGCGGCTATCTGGTCAGCCTTCCCAGCTTCGTACATTGTACGAACATTCCAGGTACCCATCCTTACTTTTGCTTTCATCGAAAGAAGGCATATCGGCTGACTGGCTTCCCGAAGGCTTTTCACCAGCCTGTGTCATTTGTCTTCCCCGATTCCAGCGAAAAATAAGGCTATTGCTTATGTTTTTAGAATTTTTAATATATTTATTCGTTGAAGTTTCTGTAGCGATTTGTTTGTTTTACGGGGGTGGGTGAGTTGCTATCATCACGCCCCAACCCTCCCTCTTTACCCGGGCTTGAGATCGGCTAGAAAACTAGTAAGCTATTAGCCTAGCAAGCTAGTATCTGGCGAGGTTGAAATAATAATAATAGTAGCCTAGTAATTACTAGCCTCGCTAGTAATCTGGCGAGGTTATACCAGAGATATACAAGATATTATTGCCAGCAGGCAATCAATCGGTCAAATCAGAATAGGATTATAAATAATCTTAAATTGTATTCTATTTAGGTTCAATTCACATACGCATTCACCTTAGAATATTCTAACAAGTTATTTTTTTATTTATTCATTTTTACTATAAAAACACTTGTTGTATTTCCCTTCCCATCTTCTTGTATTGTAGTGTATTGATAACAATAATATGATTATTATTTCCGAATGTACTTTCTTCTCATCTTATATTACTGATTGATTTGATTCACTCAAACGTCTATTCACCATCATCAATTTTTACTCATTTGTGTATATAAACGGCGAAGCAAGAAGGTGAGTGGTGTGTATGAGTTGTGTGTGTATAAAACTTGGGCACTGTGGTAGTAAGTAATTCCATATTAGTTTGTTTATTAGATGTATCACACAGTGAAACAGTATTATTTAGTATTATTTATTTATTATTTACAGTAAATAATACTGTTTCACTGTGTAATACGTCTAATAAACAAACTAATTTGGAATTGATATGATTATGACTATGAATTAGTGTCAATGATAAATCGTGCTCGAAATGTGTGGTGGCACCATCAGTAAATATTACTGTATAACAAACAGACACTGTGTGACACTTTATCAAAATGAAAAATTTCCTCCATAATGCCCCTAATGCCACTTTACTGCCTTAAATCGACATACTACTGATTGACTGAGATGAGTAGTATTACTTGTTGTCTAACATCCACCACAACATCATCAACCCGTAGTAGTACTTGCTAGCCAGTTAGCCAGTGATCAAGGTGATTTTGAAAAACACTGGACGGCTATTTTACTTGTGTGATCAGTGGTATACACCCAATTCGACTCCTCAGCTCTCAGACAGGCGAATCAGTTTTTAAAAAGCACCCGAACCGATCTCTCTGTGGCTAGCTGGCAACTACCAATAAATCAAAATCAAATTTAAAGTTTGCAAATTACGCAACGATTTTCAGTGTATGTACACATAGGTGCAGTTGTGGTGATTACCACTTGTGACATATTGTTGTGTGTGTGTGTGATTTGAATATAATTTGGTTTCCAAGGAGAAAACTCTGTTCTGGGGAGAAATTTCTCACCCCACCCCCCTTGAACTTTGTAATTTTGCAAATTTTTAACTTGTTTCTGCTCGTGTGTTACTCTGCCTAGTTCTGCTTATTAGATGGTTGGACGCAGTAGGCAGGAAGCCTTGTCTAGACCTAGGTTTCGTGTTATTTGGCACCCATGAGTCAGTCAGCAAGGCGTATCTACAACCCTTCTGAGATTCGGACCTCCTGCGTCAACTGCCAGTTGCCTCCAGCCATCTACTGTCATCAAAGCAATGTGCACGGTGATAACGAGCTAGCTACCTAATGGCATGGTGACCACATTGAAAACCTGACACTGACTGACTGATAGAATTCAGTCTGCACGAAAGAAAGAACTAGCCAGACACACCATACACTAGTGACTGACTGACTGACTGACTGTCTAATCAAAGTAGTTCTGCTTAGTTTTAACCTGATGCAGTGCTGTCTGTCACATCATTGTCATCATAAACCAATGTCCTCGTTTTAGGACAAAGTTTTGTACTACATTGTATTTATCTGCCTGTTTTGATAACATGATGACGCTCGGTAAGCTAATTAGCTAGCTAGCTAGCTAGCTATCCATTCATACTTTTTGCTTATCTATTCACCCTTTATAATTATCAGTTTAGAGTATAATCTCAACAATTAAGCTGATACATAATAAGAAAATGTAATTTTTAGGGATATATTTATTATTTAATTGGTGGATGGTGACTAGTAGTGGAATCCAGGATGCGCGTTTCGTCCTATTTGGGACTCGTCAGCTGGATGTACCTGCCAAAAATATATATTTATTATTATTTTTATTATTATTCTCATTATTATTATTATCATTGGTGAAGCGCTTACTTTATCTTATTTTGGAAGGCCACCGCTTTTGAATCGCCTGACCTAGACAAACTTCTATTAGTGTCTTGTGCGCATGCATAGCGCTTCTCAAGCATAGCCTTCTTATTATCCCGTCTAATATTTCTTTTCATGTTGTTATTTTTTTCCTTCTTTTCTGAAAGACTAAATACTTGCGTATTTCTTTTGTATTCTTTTATTTTATTCACCTGATTGCTTAATTGGTAGTGTTAAGTCGCCATGGTAACATCATTATGATGAGCCGATGTATGTATGTGTGTGTATACTGTCGGTATTTTTGTCTTTTCAGACTGACGTTGGATACTACCGTTATTGAATCGTATCGTCGTAGGAAAGAAAGTACACATAGTTAGTTGGTTAGTCAGTCAACAAAACACATAAGTTGTGCATTGATTATTATGGATGATAGTTATAACAAAAAGAAGAAATTTAACCATAAAGTCAAGTTATATTCTCAAGTATTAGCCAGATACTAGTTTGCTAGGCTAATAGCTTACTAGTTTTCTAGCCGATCTCAAGCCCGGGTAAAGAGGGAGGGTTGGGGCGTCGTGATAGCAACCCCCCCCCGTAAAACAAACAAATCGCTACAGAAACTTCAACGAATAAATATATTAAAAATTCTAAAACCATAAGCAATAGCCTTATTTTTCGCTGGAATCGGGGAAGACAAATGACACAGACTAGTGAAAGCCAGCCTTCGGGAAGCCAGTCAGCCGATGTGCCTTCTTTCGATGAAAGCAAAAGTAAGGATGGGTACCTGGAATGTTCGTACAATGTATGAAGCTGGGAAGGCTGCCCAGATAGCCGCTGAAATGAGAAGGTACAGAATAGAAGTGTTGGGAATCTGCGAGAGCAGATGGAACGGAACTGGAAGGTGCCAACTACCTACTGGAGAGACAGTAATCTTTTCCGGCCACCCAGAGGACAACCACGAGCACACCGAGGGAGTGGCCATCATGATGTCACCAACAGCAACCGAAGCTCTCATGCAGTGGGAACCAATCTCCTCCAGGATAATGACAGCCAGATTCAACTCAAAAGGAAGGAAGGTTACAACCATTCAATGCTATGCGCCTACAAACGTCTCAGAACAAGAGAAGAAGGAGGCGTTCTACAGACAACTACAAACAGTAATGGACAACGTTCCAAATGGCGATATCAAAATCCTGATGGATGATATTTCTATGAAACTGGGAGGAGACAACACAGGAAGAGAACTCACCATGGGTCGAAAGGTCATCGATGAAATGAACGACAATGGTGAACTCTTCTCAGACTTCTGCGCCTTCAATGATTTGGTGATTAGTGGTAGTGTGCTCAAACACAAGAAAATACACAAGACGACATGGATTTCACCAGATGGAAACACCAAAACCAAATAGACTTCATCTCAATTTCAAGAAGGTGGAGACGGAGCCTACTGGACACAAGGTCGAGGAGAGGAGCAGATGTGGGTTCAGACCACTATCTAGTACAAGGGACTTTCAAGGTGAAGCTAAAAGCCTCGAGGATAGCTGGGGATAGGCCACAATGCAAGTTCAACACTCAGTTAATGAAGGACACAACCACAGAAGACACTTTCACTGCAACTGTCAGAGCAAAGCAGGAAACACTACGCGACATCACTGAAGAATCATGCGTGGAAGAACATTGGAACTCTCTGAAGGCGATTCTCAACGAAACGTGTTCAACGGTTCTAGGAAGAAAGAAGAGACAAGACAAGGAATGGCTCTCAACGGACACTTGGAAATTAATAGAAGAGAGGAGAATGGTGAAAATGATTCAATGCAAGGACGGACAGGAGAAGGAGACGCTGAGCTCAGCTCACTACACAGCTGGCACTGGACAAAGAAGTGAAGAAGAGAGCTAGGAAGGACAAAAGACGATTCTACGACAACCTGGCCACTGAAGCTGAGAAGGCAGCAGGCAAAAGGGACCTGAGGACATTACATCGGATAAACAAATCTCTATCCGGGAAGAGATCAACACAAGCGAAATCTATGAAAGACAGCCAAGGGAACCCAATTACCAAGGAAGAAAGACAGATTAAACAATGGGCGGATCACTTCAAAGGACTCTTGAACCGACCATCACCTACAACCCGTCCACAAATACCAACAACAGCGCGCACACAACTGCAAGTTGATACCAATCCTCCAACGAGAGCTGAAGTCTTGAATGCAATCAAGCCTCTGAAAGCTGGAAGGGCAGTTGGTCCAGATGGAATACCCCTTGAAGCACTGAAAGCGGATCCAGAGACGACAGCAGACATGCTGACTCACATTATTGCAAAAGGTCTGGAAGGAGGGAAAGGTGCCTACTGACTGGAGGAAGGGTTACCTCGTGAAACTAACCAAAGAAGGGCGACTCACGCCTCACTCTGCAAGAACTGGCGAGGAATCATGCTCCTGTCGACGCCAAGTAAAATCCTGAGTCACGTCATCCTGGAGAGAATAAAGGACGCACTGGAGACAGAATTCCGACCAGGAAAGTCAGGCAAATCATCTTCTGACCAAATTGCAACTCTACGCATCATCATCAGAGAACAAAGCATGGAATGGCCATCAATCAAACCTCAACTAGCTCAACTTTATAGACTTAGAGAAGGCCTTCGACAGAGTTAATCGTGAAGTAGTTTGAGAATTACTCGAGTACTACGGCGTGCAGCGCCCAAATATTCATCAACCTTATTCAACAGCTGTACGACAACGGCGCACATGTCAAGTCATCCACAACGGAAAACCCACTCAGCGAGGTATTTCGAGTAAACACAGGAGTCGGACAAGGGTGTTTGCTTACTATCACCAATGAATGATATTCTTAATTGTGGTGGACTAACTGGATTATGCGTCGGTCAGTGGGAAACGAGTAGACCGGGATATCCTGGACTGACCGTTGTGAAGAACCTAGAAGACCTGGATTTCGCGCGTGGATAATTTATGTTTGGTGTCACACACAATCGAAGACTTACAAGCGACCGAAAACCGACAAACTGGTCGAAGAAGCAGCTGACGAAGTCAGGACTCCAGGTGAACATAGGTGAACAAGACGGAGGTGATGAAAATAACCAACGAACAACAACAGCAGCAACATCAAGCACAAATCATCATCAACGGGAGGGATTTGAAAGAGGTTACTTCATTCACTTATCTAGGGAGCATTGTCTCAACTACAGGAGGAACGGACAAGGATGTCAAATCGAGCGAGAATCGGGAAGGCGAGAAACACATTCAATCATCAACCTGAAACAACCAATCTGGAAATCTTCGTCACTCAGCATCAACAACAAAATTCGGATTTTCAATACAAACGTAAAGTCAGTTCTTCTATACGGATCAGAAACTTGGAGGGTCACAAAGAATATTTCCAACAGGCTGTTGCAGACGTTACGTTTATTAACAACTAACTGTCTTCGCTCTGTACTGAGGATCAGATGGCCGGGCCGGAAAGAGTCACCAACAAGGAATTATGGGAACAAACAAAGCAAGAACCGATCGCCAACCAACAAATATGCAGGAGAAAGTGGAGATGGATCGGTCACTCGCTGAGGAGACCGCTGGGTGACATTGCACGTCAGGCCATCACTCGAGTGGAACCCGAAGGGAAGCGGCGTGTGGGACGTCCACGGTTGACATGGAGGAGATCGTGTGGAGAGGAGGTGAAGGAGTATGGACTTACAGGGATGCAGGCGAAAAGTATTGGAGAAGACAGAAGCAAAGCTGAAGAGCCAGTCCCAAACTGGTATGGAGTAAACAGCTGTCTTGCTGTACGCCTGTGTAGTTTTCCAATGGTTCTCTAACCAACTGATGTCAATTGATGATGAAATCTCCTCCGAACAATCAACTTATGCTGAATTTTTTTCTTAAACAACAACGTAGTTTAGGCTAAAGAATAATGTTTCACATCTATTGATACTTATAATTATCCATACGAGTGGATGTGCATCTTGTAAAGTGGGCTTTACACATCGGCATACTTCAGCTTTTCTATGGATTTAAAATTCCAGTAATCATAATATTACACTGTTATTATTATTATTGCTCTCTTCGGTTACGATTGGAACATAAAGCTTTAACAGCACCAAATCTCCAATTTGTTCTGTTCTCTGCAACCCTGTTTGTCTGGCCCTTATGATTTCCTGCTCTCCCACCTCATGTTTTCATCTCTTTCTCTATGTCACCATCGGACCCACTCCCCAAATTGCCGTTTATCATTCAGGTTCTAGTGAAGAGGCCTGACGTGTGATGTCATTCGATAGTCTCTTTAGTGTGTCTCAGATTTTCTTCGGGTTGTTTGTTGAGTAACAGCTTGTTTTAACTAACTCATCCCCAGAGTTTATTGTTACTTAATCCTCCTGGCCTGTCATCTGATCCTTCAGCATTTGCTGATAAAAGCTTGTAGTGTTGCTCAAAATGGTTTTGATGATGATGATGATGATGACGACGACGACAGGCACGCCATGTTTCAGATCCCCACGTAGAAGAAATGACTCAATTGGCATTGGTGTTAAACAGAATCCAAATTTTGTTGTTTATTTTGTGTGGAGTGCAAAAGATTCTCAAACTTATATTAGATTTGATGAAGGTGTGTCTTGCTCTTCCCATTCTGCTTGTGACGCCCTTATATATATATATATATATATATATATATATATATATATATATATATATATATATATATATATGATGTTTTAGTTGAAACGCTTCTTTCTATATAAGTGATGGAACCGAGGTCTTTCAAATTTCTTCCGTTAAAGTCCTATATTTGCTGCCTACCTCTTCTCTCAATGTGGTGGATTTTGTCCGTAAGTCTTCGAGTGTGTGTGTGTGTGTGTGTGTGTGACATCAGACATAAATCGTCCGTGAAATTCCAGGTCTTCTGTAGCCTTCTTATCAATCCACTGCATTCCCGTCTTTTCGCTCCACATCCACAACTTTCTGCATTATCCTTTCTAGATCACTTGACACGTGACATTGTCATAAAGCCAGCCAGCTGTTGAATAAGGTTGAAGTGGTTTCCGAATTTCTTCATTCGTTTTCCTCATTTATGCAGGTTAACAGTGGTTAGAATACCAAGAGGTCATTGATCTCCGTCTCTCAGTGGTTGCTCAATGGTGCTGCCAATGGGGGGCTAAAGACCCAACTCGAAGTGAATAGAATCCCCTGCAAATCAACACATCCTAAATCATTTCATTGTATGATTTTTTCTCTGGAAATCTCTTCTTCACTTGTTTTTGTGTGGTTTTATTTTACCTTCTGTCTGTCTGTCTGTCTGTTTTCGACATAGTGCTTTACACATATGTGTGGCAGTTAAAGTCGCCACACTCCCTCCATGTAGCACACAAAGCAAGACAAGAAAGTAGAAGAAATGAATAATAGCGACAGTAAACAGAGGTCTGAGACAAAGGAACAGAAGTAACGAAGAACAAAACAGTTTCATTGGAAATCATAAGTCACAAGATTATTTTAGCTTATCATTGTTAACCTCTTCTCTTCTCTTCCTTTCTCTCTCTCTCACTCTCGCTGTTTGTGTTTTTATCAGGTAAAATAAAGTACACAGAAGAAGTTTACGAGGCGTGTATGGAAGCATTCGACTGTTTACCATTGGCAGCTTTGATGAATCAACAATTTTTATGTGTTCATGGTGGTCTTTCTCCTGAAATTCATACACTGGATGATATACGCCGTGTAAGTCTACTTTTTCTTTTCTTCGATTGTTTGTTTGTTCACCAGCATTGATTTACTTCAGATTTTCATTTTCAAATTTTATGTCTTCTAAGATTTTTTTATTATATGTGTACTTCCAAATGAAGTTCATTTTTAACTGTTTTAAAAAAAAATTACGCATTAGGTATCTGATAGATTCATTATAATAAAGGTTTTTGTTTTTATTGCCCATGGCGCACACTCTTTGATCTTAACGGATGAGAAGGAAAAAGCGGAAGAAGAAAAAATATCAAGCGCATTACTCACACTCTCAAGCAGAACAACTACCCAAAGAACTTTATCAATAAAATCAACACTGATATTAAATATGGTCGAAGACGTATTCCGAAAGGCATAGATGGACCACGGTGCGTCGGTGGCACAGGGGTTAGCATGCTCGCTGACCATGCACATGGTCCCGGGTTCGATCCCCGGCCACCTACGCACTCATTTACCTCTCTAAGCCAGTAATAAGACTGGTAAAGAGAGGGGAATGTTGGGCATGAGGCTAGCAACTCGATCCTGTAAAAATAAACACTGCTGCAGAAACTTCAAGCCTACAGCTTTAATCCCTATGTTCCACTGGGAACGTAAAGGAAATTAAAAAAAAAGATGGACCTCGACAGCTGTCATTCCATATAGACCAAAGACGTCAGACAATAGATATCAGAAGAGTATTCAACACCAGCACAAACGTCACAGTTTTCTTGAAAACTTCAGACATCCACACACACTACAGAGCAACTTTGTCCATATAAAAGACCTAATACCTAAGGATTCTCTATCTAATTTTGTCTACAAAATAAATTGCTTGCATTTTGTTGACATATACATTGGACAAACATCGCTAGAGGGAAATCAAGGTAATCGGAATAAATGAACACCGTACTGCGTCTGTTCGACCACCGAGGACTAAATCCAGTTGAAATAGAAAAGCTTGAGAAATCGTCAGCCATAGGTCGTCTACAGGCTACGCCATACAATATATTGAAATCATCAACCAGAAAAATTTTAGAAATCATAAAGAACGTCTAGTATTATCGGAAGCACTTAATATCAAATAAATTCCAAATTGTCTCAAGTAAATATGGATGGTGGACCAAAACAGAATTTTACCTGGTGACAACACATTTTTCCGATTTCTCTCATTAAATGACAAAATCAACACGAATGAGATAAGCGATTTCATTATGTAAACGCACGCTGCTCTTGTATAATTGTATACACTTATCAAATGCCACAATCTACACCAGGTTTTGTTATCTTTACCAATTGGCCACCTTGACAAGACAAAAATTATCCCATGCTGATGAACGATGATCAAATTGTTATATATATATATATATATATATATATTGTAAATTCTTCTGGTTTAATATTACTCCTTTGATGATAAAGCTATTAGCAGCAGCCTTAAAAAAAGTGAAACATCGTCAGTAAAAACAACGACAATATCGTGTTGATGTTTTTCATTCATTGGGAAGATATTATTTCACATACTATTTTTTTTACACACCTCCACACTTATAATCTCTAGTTTAAAACTGCTCTTGCCATAGGAATTGCTTTCCTAGTTTAGTTGGAAATCTGTTATACGTTTCAAAGCCAGGAGGAATGTATCTCTCGGGAATTGAACCCAGATCACGTGCGTATTTGTAAATATGACTATCTCAATATGTTGCAGTATTGCAGCTGACGTTTGTCGAATACAGTTGACATGAACAGAGAGTGTGTGTTGTTCCGATGTGTGATCCTTGCATGATTTGTTCTTTTTTTTCAGGATCTAGCTTGTCCCAGGCTTAGTGTATTCTTTTTGTGTGATGACAGGAGCATAATCCCTTAATTCGCACTTTTTTGTATCCGTCCTTCTTTCTAGTCATTAGATATCTTCTCTTTCTTCCACACCTCCTACACTAAATGGCGTGAGTGTGTCCACTGAGGTTTTCTAACGTGCTTCTCAGTCTTCAGTAACTTTACTGCTCTGGAGATTTCTGTTTCTGCCGGTGGGTTGTTGTTCACTGACAGTTAGTTCTCATAGCTGTATTCCTGGACGAGATGTAGGTGATGGTAGATTCAATGGTTCTTTCTGCAATGATTAGCTCAGGAGCTCCTCTTTTCCGCCTCTTTAGTAATCGGGTTTCTTTCCCCTTATTTCACTGGATTTGACGTTCATTTACACTGCTCATAATCATGCGTAGACTGAGTTGTGCTCGGGAGGCACAAACACGAGAGAGCCAGGCAGGCTTTAGACCAGGAAGAGGGTGTATTGATCATATCTTCACCCTCCGACAGATTCTAGAACATAGGAATTCCTACCGGCGTCCAACAGTCATTACATTTCTTGACCTAAAGGTGGGATTCGATTCTGTCGACCGAGAAGTACTCTGGCGATGCTTGGCTGTTAAGAGAATGCCGAAAAATACATTGCACTGATTAAGGCACTCTACTCGAACTCAAGAAGCCAGGTGAGGGTTTACGGCGAGTTGTCATCTGAACTGGTGACGACTAGTGGTGTACGTCAGGGATGCCTATTATCCCCTTTTCTATTCAACTTCATCATAGTTGTACTAATGGACTTAACCTCAACTCACTTCAGACACAGGGATTGACTTGCTACCAGGGAATAATCTCGTTGACTTATATATTATATTCTGATTTCGTGGCGATTCATATCAAAAGTGTCACACAGACTTACAGGGGAAAACTAACAAGTTATCAGAAGTGACTGACGGCTAATACGGGACTTCAAATAAAAAAAGAGAGAAGGAGGTCATTAAAATGCTTAACCAATCAACCTACCAAAAACAACGACCAATCATCATCAAAAGTTTATAAGTTTGAAAGTGATCACTTGCTTCAATTATCTAAATGTCATTGTTGCGACTGCACGTGGCACAGACAAAGATATCAAGGGCAGAATAGGCAGAAGGTAAAGGCAGATCTTCATCACATTCAAATCTGTGTGTGTGTGTGCTTGTGGAAATCTTCGGAATTCAGTATAAGGAATAACACGTAGTGTCTTTATGATTCACAGACTTGTAGAGCGCGTCATGTTAAGGCATTTCTGAGGGACTATGGTAGAATTTTAAGTCAGAAACTGCTTTCTCCGGCTTCATACTGAATATGGGATTGTTAATGGAAAGAATAAGCATCAGAGTGTTCTGCGAAAAAACCAAACCAGCCTATTAGTCAACCAACACATATTCTGAATGAAATGAGAACAGATAGGAAGCACGTTGAAAAGACCGCCCATTGAGTGATACAATGCGCCAGGTCATTGCTCGAATGGAATTTTGTTGGGAAATATCGAGTTAGGTAGGTAGATGAGAAGGAGGTGAGCACCTATATGGAATTGTGTAGTCAAGTAAAAAGGACTGCAGAGAACAGGACACAATGAAGATGTTCTGTTGAAGCCTTGTGTTCCACTCCAAGCCCAAGGGAATGATAATAATATTGCGCAGAATAATTGATACCAGTCAACTCTTATGGTGCATTATTTCATTGTTATAAGATTATTATTATTATTCTGGTATTCAGGAGTTAGTTTGTAATGATTAGATCTGTTTTTTCGAATTTGACCATGAATTGATAACTCAGTTAGAGAGAGCCATTGAAAACCAGCTGGAGGAGTACTGCCAGACGTCAGCTGTTTCATCATCAGCCTAGTTTGGGAATCACCGGCAGTACTCACCCCACCACAGTAAGGTTCGAACCCAGGACCTTCCAGTTCCAAAAGACAGGTTATCCCGTATACCATTGGACCACTCACTGGGATCCTGGTTGGTGCTAGTTGCGTTCAATGCCTCACAAATTGGTAGAAGTTAAAGTTCATGGGCTGGCTGGCCATTGAATCGGATCCCAGTGAGTGACTGAATTGTATACGAGGTAGCCTGCCTTGTTACCGTAAGGTCCTGGGTTGAAACCCAACTGTGGTGGGTGCGTACTAATGATGAATCAGCTGTCCGTCTTGCAGTACTCCTCCGGCTGGTTTTCAATGCTTCTCTAACTGTTATTCTAATATTCTTTTTTTCCTTATAAACTATATCAGAAAATAATGAGTAGACTTATTCTCTACTTATTGATAAATGCAGGCATACCGCAGATATTATGAAGTTAGTAAACCTCTGTATGTACATACACACCCACCCACCCATACTTCTTACATACATATGTAGGCTACATTCACTCATTTTTACTGCCTATATATATATATATATATACGAATCAGCGTGTTGTTCGTTACATTCAGTAGTTCATGCTTATTGATCATATTTTTCTGTCTTCCTTCATTTTATTGTTGTATAATCATCAATCCCTCCCTATTCATCATCATCATCAACATCATCCATCGTCAGTGTTGAGAATGAATGCATTCTCTCTTATTTTCTTATTATTACAACATCTAAATTATATTATCACACTTGTAAGTGGATCGATTAATTATGAATAATAATAGGAATAATAATAATGAGGAATGTACTCAGATTAGATACTTTTAAACTCTTTCGAATTCTAATTTTTCATTCTCTATTTTACTATTTGTCTCTCCTTGTCATTGTGTGTATGTATGCGTGTGTGTGTGTGTGTGAGCGTGATACAGTTGGATTTTCAAATGAATCTATGAAATTTGTGAAAAAAAATTTGCTCAGGGACTGAAAACCTAGTCTGTTTGCATATTATTTACATTGATGCAAACTGTTAAGGATGTCTGTATATTGTGTCTATTTTGGCATGTTTACTAGGAAAATAACATCTTGAATACATTCCTTTGTTAGAGAAACACAGCTTGAATTACCTGTGTGTAGTGTTGAACAACCTACCTGTAAGCGAGTGTATTTTCCTGCGATAATAAGTCGTATGATTGCCAAAGAATGGTTACACTGAACAAAGAATATTCACCTTTTGCAATAACCTGCTCTTCATCATCCTCCAGGTTCTACAGTTTTATATATACATCCATCCATAAAAGTGACTGAATGAAT